ATTACATACTATTCCCCATTTTAATATGTACGTGTATTTCAATAACACCCTGTATATATATATTAAATAGAAGGGGGCTCAATGGTAAACCTTGAGCCAGACCTTTACTACTTAACCCAGGACCAGTTAATTCATAATTCATATCCCTAACATATATTCTCTAATTATATAGCAAATTGAAAACTACATTTGTATAATATGAAGGGATATTAAGATCTAACATTTTCCTATAAAGAATATGGATGTCTACATTATCATATGCTGGTTTAAGATCAATGAATACTGCAATTAAATGATTTTTTGAACTAAAAGCTTTTAATACTGAGTGTGACAAGATTGCAATTGCATCACTACATCCCCTTTCCCTTCTAAAACCCATTTTAAATTTTGGAAGGATCTTATTATGTTCTAAAAACCATTCCAAGCGAATCTTTATCATACTCTCCAAAATTTTACCTACATATGAAGTTAATGCAATTGGTCTATAATTTTCAAATGAGCCCTGATCTTTACCTTTTAATATAGGAACCACAATAGTCTCCTTTCATTGTACAGGAACACTACCAGTCTTTCAGACTATAATTATAATATTGCAGTAATTTAAGTTGTGCCACGTTAGGGAGATTATTTAATATCGAGAAAGATATATCTTTACCAGTAGCCCTATCTTTTCTTCCCTCTACTACATTACAGAACTCATTAAAGGAGAATGGATTTACATCTATATTATTATTAACTATGTGAAACTCCGGATCAATGTCACAGTAAGTTAGTGACTCCAGCAAATGTTGGGCAATTTCTTTATTTGGGAAGCTTATATTATTGTTAGTCATGTAAGACTTAAAGCGCTTAACTACTTTCCAAACTTTTTTAATTGGAGTATCTCTGTTTATTGTCCCACAAAATTCTCTGAAAGATGTTTTCTTTTTAATTTTAAATGTTCGCTTAACAAGAGCTTGAACCCTTTTAAGTTCAATATAATTTACTGTATTCATTTCCAATTTACATTTATGTAGTGCCTGTCTTCTTCTAGCAACTAAATCCGAACACTCCTTATCCCACCAAACATTGTATTTACATTTTCCATTGTTGCTAAAATAAGGAATTTACTTTTCTGCTGACCTGTCTACTATCTTAAAATGATGATAAAATTAATCAAAATATTTTGGCAGTTTAGGTGGACCAAAAAATTCATTTGTATGTTTTTTATTTAATAGTACGGTAGGTATAGTTAGTAATTTAACGGCTTATTGTTTTAGTCTGGTTCAATTTTGGACTTGTATATATTGAGAAGGTTACGATAGCGAATACTTAAATTGGCAGTATCCGTTCTTAAATTTACTGTGTCGTTTAGAGATATGTGCATCATTTCACTAATTATTCTTTTGTAATAGTTGGATTTTTTATCAACAATTTCAACGTTGTCAAAGTCAAATTTGTGCGATTGATTAAAATGATGTAAAGCTTCACAGCCTTCACAGTTAATTTTGTACACTAAATTGGATTTTAATTGATCTTTTAAATTTGAAAATAAGGATCTACACTGGTTAATAGGGTGAAACGCTAACATTGTGTTTTCACAACCCTTTGTAATTTCAAAACATATTTTAATTTTCTGGGACATTTCCTGTATAAATGGAAATCGAAAATACACTTTCTTCTCTTAGATTTTACTCAACTGTTTTGATTGCAAATTAGTTTTGTATTCATTGATTACTATGTTTATAACACTCAATGGGTAGTTGTTGAGTTTTAAATTATTCCTAATTTTTCTTCATTTGCTGTGTAGAATTCTGGGCTACTAAGATGGTAAGACATGAACAGTAAATTTTTAAATGTATCTATTTTATGTTGCATTCGATGGTTTGAGAAATAGTTCTCCCTGAATTAATGGGTTTGTTATACCAATTCGTTCTTAGTTTCCCATCATTTTGTCTTATAACAAGAGTGTCCAAGAAGGTAATAGTATTTTCTTTTTCCATTTTTACTGTAAATTTAATTCTCTGATAATAGGAATTAAATACACCTAATACTTCATTTATTTTATTATGTGGAACACCTAAAATCATGTCATCCACACACACTTTTAAAAATGCCACCTGAAACGTTAGTGTTAATAAACTTTCTTCAATTAATTAATTCATTATTAAATTAGCTAATGTAGGACTGCTGGATTTACCATTGCATAACCTTCAATTTGTTGGTAAAACTGGTTATTAAAAGAGAAATAGCTGGACTCAAACAAAAATGCAATGATCTTAGAAAACAGCGTTAATTCAATAGTTGTGTATGCAGAGATAAATTTCCATTTCTTTTTAATAATATTTAAAACTAATTGTTTGAGGTGGCATTTTTAAAAGTGTATGTGGATGACACGATTTTAGGTGTTCCACATAATAAAATAAATGAAATAATAGGTGTATTTAATTCCTATCATCAGAGAATTAAATTTACAGTAGAAATGGAAAAAAAATACTATTTTCTTCTTGGACCCTCTTGTTATAAGACAAAATAATGGGAAACTAAGAACGAATTGGTATAACAAACCCACCAATTCAGGGAGGATTCTAAACTATTTATCAAACCGTCCAATGCAACATTCAATAGGTACAATTAAAAATTTACTATTCAGGTCTTACCATCTGAGTAGCCCAGAATTCTACACAGCAAATGAAGAAAAAATTAGGAATAATTTAAAACTTAACAACTACCCATTGAGTCTTATAAACATAGTAATCAATGAATACAAAACTAATTTGCAATCAAAACAGTTGAGTAAAATCTAAGAGAAGAAAGTGTATTTTCGATTTCCATTTATACAGGAAATGTCCCAGAAAATTAAAATATGTTTTGAAATTACAAAGGGTTGTGAAAACACAATGTTAGCGTTTCACCCTATTAACCAGTGTAGATCCTTATTTTCAAATTTAAAAGATCAATTAAAATCCAATTTAGTGTACAAAATTAACTGTGAAGGCTGTGAAAAATGCTACATTGGTATTACAAAACAATATCTTAAAAACAGAATATACCAACACAAATATGACTGTCGGGAAAAAAATGAAAATAAAGTAGAAAAGACCGCATTAGCTTTACATCATTTTAATCAATCGCACAAATTTGACTTTGACAACGTTGAAATTGTTGATAAAGAATCCAACTATTACAAAAGAACAATTAGTGAAATGATACACATATCTCTAAACGACATAGTAAATTTAAGAACGGATACTGCCAATTTAAATATTTGCTATCATAACCTACTCAAAATTGAACCAGACTAAAACAATAAGCCGTTAAAATACTAACTATACCTACCGTACTATTAAATAAAAAACATACAAATGAATTTTTTCGTCCACCTACAATTTTAACTGCCACAATATTTTGATTAATTTTATCATCATTTTAAGATATCTGTGTGTAAATGTTACTTTTAGTATTAGATTTCATTTATGTATTGTTATAAGTTTTAACTGTTTTAACAAATTCCACATATGCCATGTGCCTTGCACTAATTAACTTAATAAGGTAAGGTTTTTAGTTTTTATTTCTCCTTGTTTTTATGTTTATATTGATTTGTGAATTCTCTCATGCTAACAATGATTGTTTTATTGAAATAACAATAACCATTTACCTTGTATATATACCTATATACCATGCGGGAGCCACTGTCAAAGCTACTAAGTCTAATAAAAAAGACCAGGCTAGACGACATACTCTAAAACAAACGGAGTCCCACAATAGATCTGAAAAGGTCGCGGTGGACAAGGACAAATAACGTCCAACTCCTAATCTAATCTAATCTACCTATATACCATTTATAATATTGACACCTATGTAAATCTCATAGTTTTTACAATTTTTTATTAAAACCTATTATGTATTTTCAGCCTTGACAAAGACGAAAAATAAACGTCGAAACGTCGGCAAATTAAGAAGTTAATGTTTTCTTTTGGCACGTCCTCTTCCCACTAACCTCACACTCACAAATAAATTTAAAGGACGAAAACTTTTACTGATTAATGTATAATTATTATTGTTTGTAGTCAGGATCTATGACAGTAAAATTTTATTTTATAGAAACTTGTAATAAAATAAACTACACTCCGTAATACGTGTTATGACTTGTTTACAATAAATAATATATTTAGACATAAATACATTATTTTACATTAGAAGCTTTAACACGACATTGAATTAATTTCTTCTTGTGCTTTATTTAGTTTTACATGTGACTTGAATAGGTATTGTTTTACAATGTGGAACGAAGGAAATCTTGCACTCATGTTACTTGTACTCACGTACTTTTTTCACATTATTTTGATTCTTTTCACCAATTTTTTTAAAAATCACTTCATTTTACATAGACTTATATAGAAAATGAACGTCAGTGATGTTCGACCTGTCAACTTCAATCAATTTACCGAACTTTATAAAAAGAAGGACAAATTTGAAATTTGGTCATTGCCGATTCGCCTCCTTATATCTAGTCTTCATAGTATATATGAGAAGTGCTAAGCTAAGAAGGTATGTACTGTAATCAAATTATACAAGTAGAAAATAAGTATTCTTTGCGAGTTTAACACTATACTTTTTTTGTATCAATAACTTGCCATTACTAATTTTTAATTAGCGTTTAAATTCATAATATTAAAATAATAGCTCTCTTCTAGATAATTATTTAAATGTTTGACATGCAGGGCACACACGATTTTATTAAAATAATAGGATAATGACTACTTTGTGTTATCAGATAAAAAATATAACTATTTTGTTTTTTAATATCAGGATATTAAAGTACACGCCACACGATATATCTTATAATTTTTACCTTTATTTAATAAACGAACAAACCAGACAATATTGAACTTGCTAGACATTGGTGGCCCTTCTTCCAGATTCAGGACTTGAGTAGCCCATTATTACTTACTATAATTAGTACCTATTTGGTCGCGCCTTACTAAGGGTGCAAAGGTTCCAAAATAAAAAATATATATAAACATAGGTATATATAAATCCAAATATCAGTTGTAATGTCGTTAAAAAAAATATACAAGTAGTCAATAATTAATTTAATTGTTCGATTTCACAGCAGCTTGGAAGCATTCACTAACAATCTGTAAATCATCACATTTTGTTATTTTAACATCCTCCATACATTTTTTCATGGCGTCTAAAAACTTTTGAGGCACGTCGGAAAATACCTGTTCCTTAAAATTTTTATCGAACTCATCAAACTTTATAGAACCATCGGCGTTTATCATTTCTCTTTTATCCATCATACATTTTTTAAAGCAAAACACTTCATGGGTATTTTTTGGTGGTAAAACAAATAAATCATCCTTTTTGGCTCCACTAGATTTTAGACAATCATCAAATCCATCAGATTTTTGGATTTTTTCGATGAATTTCATCCGCATCTCATTATCTATTGCAATTGCCAATGATATCTGAAAAAAAGGCGAGTATCATTAAAATACAAACGTACTACGCCATAGAGAAACTAAGTGAGGGTTATTGATGCTATGCAAACAGCTCACCCTAGTCACGAAACCTTTAAAAATGGCGGGAAATTTAGTTTAAATAAATTGATATTTATAATTTTAAAATTCAATAAAAAGTTTAAACGTTTTAGGTGTATTTTGAAAACAAATTGTGACAAGAAATATACATTTTTAAACACAATAATTTTTTTAAACTATAATGTAATAAATCTATTATTGCGAATCTAGAAATTCCGGACCAATAGGAACATTCTTCTCTAATGGCACTGCTGGATTTGAAAATGTGAATTCAATGTAAGGTATTTTAAATAGATTAATACAGGGTGTACCAGATGGACTTTCAACTTTTAGAGACAATGTTATTCTCCATAAAAGTTTTTGATTATTTCAAAACTAATAATAATCCAAACATAAGTTAAATATCTTACTGCTTTAGTTTTGAAACAAGCAAACAATTTTATGAAGAATTACTTTTTTTTTAAAATGGTGAAAATAAAAAAGTGTTTACTCCTCTTTTTTAGTAGATCCGGGAACACTATTTATATTAATAAGTAAATAAAAATGAAATAATAAGAATATTTATTGGAAAACGGAGTATCTGCAACGTATATTTTATAATAATTTATAAAAACCAGTAATAGACATCAATGTTGAGTAGAATAAAAGAAATTTTACGAGTGGCTCTTGGGGATAACACTTGGAAAATTTGATTTTCCTTAACAGAAATATTTCCGAACCCAAAATGCACTTATATATTTATGTAATTCAAGACGATATGTTTTTGGATTATTGACGATAAGTTTGTGTGGAAAAATCGGTTAAAACCATGATTTTTCCTTACAAGATTACGCCTTTCTTTTAACCCTTTAGATACTAAAAACATTAAAGCCTTTGGTTTTTTGAATCCTAAGTTTTATTAGTTTATCATTTAGTGAATACGGTTTGCGTGAAAATATGGACAGATTCCCTTAATTTTTGTTATGAAAATCAAATTTTCCATATGTTGTCACCAGGAGCCACTCGTAAATTTTCTTTTATTCCACTTAAAATCGATGTACTTTTCAACCTTCTTGGGACTTGTATGCGAAAATAGGGCACATATACCTGTCACTATATGACGGTCTATAATGTATTGAGAATTTTTTACAAATACACGGACAGGCGAAGGTCACTAAACTGGAGAAAGATTACCTAACCAAACAAACGTTAGTCAATAAATATCCTGATAAATATAGAAGTAAAACAATTATATCGAAGTAGTCATAAATAAGATAAAAAAGGAAAAATAAATATAAGTAATATAATTATTATCACAAACTAATACATTTATGGTTTAATTTAAATTACCCAATATACCTTGTGACTTACATCATGTTCATAACTACAGTACATTGTGTCATCAACTCCATTCTAACCAATACAATTTAATTAGGACAAGAACCACCATTGACCCATAATTAAAAAGATTATTTATGAATGTTCATTGCGATTCGTTCGTCGTTATCCTCGGGAAGAGAGAGGATGGGGAGGGATAGATGGTCAATGCGACCAAAATAAAAAAACAATATTGAAAGAGTAAAACCAAATTTGGTAGATTTTCACACTTTTATTTTAAAAATATAAAAATTTTTAAAAAACACTAACATGACATATGTTTCGAAGTACAACTTCTTTTTCAAATGTGACTAATTTACAATTCGGTATCCAATATATATACGAAATAATTTAACAAAACAAAGTACTTAAGAAAAACATCAATAACATTACTTAATAATAATAACATTTGCAATTGTTTATTTAATTTTCAGTCAATTTTTTTATAAACTATTATAATTTTTTTACTAAATCTTTGGAAATTTTTTTTACTTCAAGCTATTTACTTACTATTCTCTGGCTATCTTCAATTAAAAATATTAAAAATTATTTTTCCTCTGAAAAACATGCAAGAATTTCTATAAATAATTGAAAGAAAGGTAGTAAAAACCAAACACCATGTTTTTGAGGTGTTTAATTGTTTATAACTTTTGCAATTTTTTATGCACTGCAAAATTTTTCTTCACACATTGATCTAGACATTATTCCGAATCGAATGAGCTATTGAACATAATTTTCGTAATAGTATGTCCCAAAAACACGCTTTTGAACTTGTTGATTAGACGACTAAAAGTGAAGTGAGAAAATCGGTTGAGATCCGAAAACTGAAAATGCAATATAGGAACTATGAAAATATATAATCCCCAATTCCCCTTAAGAAATTATGAAAAATACATTCCCATATCTCAAAAGTGAAAAATCTTTCATGACTATATAAAAATAATAAATAATCTTGGGCATTACAGAAGAAACATTAGGACCCAAAAAACTGGTACAAAGAGTAATGAATACTAAATTTATTTTGTACTTACGTAGCAAATAAGTAGGAAACCTGCCACTCTGATTCCAAACTGAGCCATTTTTCTGTATAGGAAATGTTACATTATAACAAACAAATAAGAAGGTTCCTTATTTATAGTTTTTATAATCTAATTCGAAATTAATCGTTTTAAAATAAGCACATATTTAATAAATATAAATATAATAGTAATTGTCATTGTCAAGGATGTTTATTTTGCTAAAGCTAATGATTGGATTTATATACAAATGAGATTCTCATTATTCACTGAAAATTAAATAGTTCATTTTTTATAATAAAATGTTACAAGCTGATAAAAAGTTGATCAATGAGTAATGTTGTTCTAACCTAACTTAACTAAAGTTGCAATCTTAAAAACTAAAGTTCTACTCGCTAGTATATCTTAGGGTATGTTTACTTAACTACTGTCATGCGAGCCATATTCGATCCGTCTGGACATCTGAGCAATTACTAATAGAGGGAGCGTGAAGCGAGTTTGTAGGCGATTGTTGTATTCGCAGCATCTATAAAGGAAATAAAGAGGCGGACAAGGGGAAAAGTAAACACACTCCCAGGTTGAGGGATGTATCATTTCTCTGTAAGAACACATATTGTCCAAATTTTTTAATTGTAAAAAAAAAACTTAAAAAATTCGCTAATTTGACTATTTTTAAAATGTTTACCGTCTAATATATTATGTCTGATGCAGGAAATAAAACAAAATCACTGTAAAGGTCTAATTTTTTCAATTAAAGAATAAAACCTCAAAATTAATACCACATTATTTAATTATAAATAAATATAGGAGCGACTAGTTTCGGCCTCACGGCGCCATCTTCATACCTTTAATAAAAAAATTCTTAATTATAATAGGTACAATATAAGAGTAGGTTGGCCACTTAGGATTTAAATTAAATAGCTCACAGTATGTACAAAACACTAAAAAGGATCCGTATTGTAGAGTTACAGTATTGTGGAATTAAATATGTAAAAAAGAAAAAATTGATGAGTAGTGCAACCTTAAATAAAAAGAAAAAAATGTGTACGAAATCTACGAGATTAGATGTCAGAATGAGCAATTACGAATGCATTAAAATTGCTGGAGATAAGAAATAAGGCTGTTAATGTAAAGTGGTGGTATGTGGTAGGCACCGTTAAAGAAAGTACGGATGTTATAGGTAAATATTCAAGGTGTGTGAATGTATTAAAACGTGCTCCGACAAAAATTTGAGTTTAACCTGGAAATAGTGCTAGTACTGGAACATAATTTTGCGTGTGAGTCTACAATCATATTCTTTAATCAACTCTTCCATAATAAGACCCCTTTATAACTACTGCAGTCTGCAAATTGCACTTTCATCAAAAAACAATCGTCGGTTAAACAAATTTATCTATAATCTATACATTTTTTGCTATATAATCGTCCAGCCTAACAGTTCGAGTTAGAGATGAGAAACTCCAACGAGCTTAGTAACAGCGAATTATACATAAAGCTTCTAGAAGTCACTAAGACTGAAAATAATAAATTATTAATGCAAATAAGGATGACAACAAAGTAATTTTAGATAGACTTGACAACACAAATAAAGTCTTAAATCTTGAAGTTAAACATCAAGCATTAGATACTCAATTTGGAAAGGGTAGTTAGACGTAATAATATCTTCATCTACGGTATTCAAGTCCCAGATTCTGAAAATGTGTTTCAATTTATTGCAAGAAAAATAGAAGAACTGCTTCAAGTAAAAATTTCTGTCGCCGATATAAATAATATGTTTAAAATCAATGCTAATAATTATCCTGCTGTTAAAGTGAAATTTACAAATTTCTTCAAAAAGCAAGAACTACTTGGGAACTGCAACAAACTTAAAGGGCAAAACATCTCCATAGTTCAAGATCTTTGCAAAGAGGACAGGGAAACACCTTAAAGTTGCAAGAACCCAAAAGAAACCCGCAAAAATTAAAAACTGGAACCTAATAGTTAAATTGCAGTATTCTCCCCAACAAAGATATTGAAGAGAACAACGCAAGATTTGGAGGCTCTACTGACACACCTGCTTCCAATACTTCCAACAAAAGACCCCGGTACTCTCCCGTGGCTCCTGAACTGGAAAAAAATAAGCTACATAGATCAAATTCGACTTCAAGCAACAAAAGTGATTCAGGTGATAGACTTACACGCAGTGTAACAGTTACTAAGATCTTTCGTTCCAACTCTACACTTAAATATTTTCATTCATTCTATCTGTTATTTTATTTTTAGGTTTGGGTCAAAAATAAAATTTAAAATATGACTAGTTTTTCAATTTGTCATATCAATTCTAGATCTGTGTTGTTGAATTTCTTTGAATTTAAAAATAGTGTATATAATATTTACCACATAATCGCTGTTTCCGAAACATGGTTAACACAACAAATTGACGATGATTTTGTAATATTACCATGTTGTAAGTTGTTCAGGCGCAACAGATTATTGAAACGGGCTGGTGGCGTTGCCATTTATATAAAAAATACCTTTTCAAGTTACAATTTATTAGATATCGGCCACACCGATTCAGAGCAATTGTAGATTTATGTCACCCATAACAATACAAAATATGCAATTTGTGCGTTTTACAGGCCTCATGAATTCTCTTCTACTACATTTTTAAACGAACTGGATGAGTGTTTAAATTGGGTTGTGCCGAGGGTTGACCATACCATATTCGCAGGTGATATTAACATTAATTTGTTGGATCTGGACAATAAAACTTGTAAATTATTTCAATCTTTAATCGATTCTTTTAATATGATACAAACAGTAAATCATCCAACCAGAAATAAAAATATACTAGATGTTATTGTTTGTTCCATCGATTTACAAATAAGTAACAATAAAGTCTGCGAGTGTTCTACTAATCTATCGGACCATAGAATCCCTTCATGTACCATTGGATACCAAACTGAAAAAGTTACACCCTACTTGCATATGTATAGAGATTTAAAAAAATTTAATGCTCATAGTTTCAAAGAAGATTTAACTTCAACAAACTTTAATGAAATTTACAATGTTAATGATGTTAATAAAAAAAGTTGAAATTCTGAATAGTAATATGCTACGCTTATTTATCAAACATGCACCATTACGTCAGGTAAGAATCACTAGAAAGAAATCCCCTTGTCGTACAGAAACTTTAAAAACTATGATGAGCTTAAGAGACAAGGCTTTTATAAAATTTAATAGAACTGAAAACGTAATACATTGGAACTACTATAAGTCACTTAGAAATGAAGTCAATTATGCCTTCAAAATAGAGAAAATAGCTTACCTTGAATTCAGGCTACGGAAAAAAGGTAATATGTGGAAAGAACTTCATAAGCTGGGTCTAATAAATAGTAAAAGCTCTTCTAAAAACATCCCACATGTGTTAGGAAAACCAGATGGAATCATTAATTACTGTGTTAACGACATTCGAGGTTCAGATATTCCAGACATTACTATGCTGAATTACTACTCTTCATCAATAATGGAAAATGAAAATAACAAGTTCAACTTTCTCGAAATAGATTAGAACAAATTATATCAAAAAATGCTTTTCATTAAATCAAATGCAATTGGGCCAGATGATATAAATATAATAATGCTTTTACACTCATGTCCATTTATTTTGCCTTTTATTGCACACATATTTAACTTTATCATTAAAGAATCTGACTTTCCATTAATATGGAAGCAATCGAAAGTACTACCTTTCCAAAAAAAAAACAAACACCTACCGATTACTCTGGTTTGAGACCAATAAGCATTTTATGCGTATGAAAAAATCATGGATGAACAAATGCGTAAACACCTCTCTCTATTTGACCTTTTACCTAAGCATCAATCAGGATTTCACCCAAATTATAGTTGTACAACTGCATTGTTTAAAGTTCTGGACGATATCTATAATTGCAGTGACGCCAATAAATTGTGTGTATTGGTACTGTTAGATTACTCAAAAGCCTCTGATAAAATTAATCATTCTTTGTTAATCGCTATCTGTCACTATCTAGGTTTTGGTAATTTTTCTTTAAACTTTTTATCATCGTATTTAAAAAGCAGAGTCCAGCGGGTCCACTTGGAACAAAGTAAATCTAATGTATTACAAACTACTCGAGGTGTGCCACAAGGGGCAACATTGGGCACTCTTCTATTTTCTTTGTACACATCGCAATTTCATAAATACATCATTAATACAAAATCTCACTTTTATGCTAACGACACCCAGCTTTACCTCGAATTTAACAAATCAGACGCCGATTTAGCCGCATTGCAAATCGAGACCTTATAAACTTATCTGAACTATCGAAAAAATTTTGCCTATCAATAAACCCTACAAAATCAAAAGCTATAGTATTCGGTCGCAAGAAATCCAGGAACACTATTAAATATAATATGCAAATTTATATTGATAAAAACTGTTTAACATTTTCCAATTTCGAAAAAAACTTAGGTATTCTAATAGACGAAGATTTGCATTTTTCCCAACACGTTGACTTTATTATTAAAAAGTCTTTTTGTAATTTAAAATTAATCTATTCAAATCGTGACATTTTAAACAAAAATACAAAAAAGATACTGTGTGAAAGTTTAGTTATGGGGACATAATATATGGCCCAGCAATAACCCAATTTAATAGAAATCGATTACAGCGTATTATAAATGTCTGCATAAGGTTAATTTGTGGTATTCGGCGCCGTACTCCAACTTCTAATTATATGATCGTTTTAGGCTGGCTGAATCTAAACAACAGAAGACTGCTACATGCTTTTGTTCAGTTCTAAAAAAATTTACTAACGAAAAAACCAAAATACCTTGATGAAAAAATAAAAAAAGATCAGAGGTCCACAACATTAATGTACGATTTAAAAATAATCTAACAATCCCTAAACACAATACTTCTTTATTCAAATCGTGCGTCTCTTATAATATAGCTAAACAATATGGCTCCTCAATTGTTCAATACTTTGCCACTTTCCCGTTTCAAGAAAATCGTCAGATTTCACATATTTAATGGAAAAATTAATTATGTGTTTTAAAAAAACAATATATTATTAAAA